GAATTTGGCAACTGTGATTAGGCAGAAAGTGAAAAGAGCGGTACACATTGTAGAAATGTTGACTCATGTAATGAATCCAGTAGTTAATAATATGGAGTTTGAAAATTCAGCTGATTGGATGAATGCAGAACTTTCCACAGGAGTAAGAATTAAATATTGTGTTAGATTAGAAATTCTGTGAATGCAGAAGTATAACATACTAAATGTATTTTATTTATTAATTTGCATTCAGTCATTTAAGCGTTGAAGCATTTTCCTGTAATATGTAGTTAATTTGTATCTATTGCATTATCATTACGATGAAAATAGGCTAATTCTGAAATTTTTTTTAATAACCAGTAATCAAAATTAGCTTAATATACTAATACATTTAGACCTTTGAGAATGATAGCAAAGAAAGGCACTGTATTAATAATCTCATGACATGAAACATCTCTGTTCTGAAACATGACATTTCTCTGTTAGTGTGTTCAGGAAAGTGTTTCAGTGAAAATGTACTTTGACCCACGCCAGAGCTTGAACCAGACTAACCACATGCGTCGTATTACTTGAAACAACAACCAGGGTCTGGGTTAAAGCACATTTCCTTAACCCATTAACCGCCAAAACTAAAAGGAATGTTTCTTTTCTCATGAAAATAATAACAAATATTAAATTAAGCATTTATAACATAAATTTACATTGAAAATAAAAAAATGCTCTTACCTTTATAAAAAGCAAGTTTTGTGTTTGTGCAACATCAGCGGAATAAGACTACGGATGATTAGTGAGTAGGATTGTACTCCTGTGATGTTTCTTTGTGCTGTACAGCTTATTTTAAATAAATTTCGTATACTGAATACAGCTTCCACGAAAAGCTCTGTTTTCTATCTTATTTGTTTTAGATTTCAGATTAAAGGGAAAATAATCAGTTGTTCTTAGAGATGGGATTCCTCCTGTTTGTTTCGTGGTTTCTACTGTAACCAATTTTCTACTGAAAGGGCTCGCGAAGGCCCCATAGCTCGTAAATAAATAGTGGAAAAAATACAAATTCATCAGATTTTATGTAAAGTAACACAACTACGAAAACAAATCTGCGCTCAACTTTTCGCCTGGGATTGAATACCGGTGAACTACAGTATTCGGTGCACAGGTAGGACTTGTACACTTACAAGAGCTTTCGCTTAAGAATGTTTATCACCTCTCCTTCCCCGATGTTAGGCTTTTTGTCATTACTAGGGGACGTTGTTTACTGTTGTTTGATTTCAATGAATAAAGGCAAAGCAGACAAAGCCTCTCAACCTGAAAGATAAAATGCCTTCAGGTAGGATTTATAGGAAACTGGTTCGCGTTCGTTTCATGCATCAGGGAGTTTCATGCATCCGAATTTTGTTTAGGTTTCTTTCATTTAGCTCAAAACATACGAGTACTCTCTGTTTTAAGAAAAGAATGTTTTGGGGGTGGTATTTTATAAGGGTAAATTACTTGTATTAATGTTACACATGCAGGGAAAATCACGAAAAGATCTGTACAGTTAGCTCATTCATAAGTATTCGGAGCCAGGTTTAATTACTGTGGTTCAGTGATCTTAATTACTTGTGTTCTAATGGGCCTCATGAGCTTTGCATTTTTGTTGATCAGGCTAATTTATGTCGAAATCGCATGAAGTTTACCAAAATTTAAAAATCTGCTTTCTGATGAAATATTCCAGTAATTTTGATTTCAGATAGCATATCTTTTATGATACATTGAGTAATCTTCAGTACTATGTAATTAATTCCCTAAATATGAAAGTATGTGAAACTTAAATTAAATTATAGCCTCATTCCATAGAAAATGCTATGATAGATAGTCTAGAAAGGATTAATTATGCGTAAATATGAGTAGGCATGTTAGACAATTTGTCAGCAGTATAGATTTTAAAGGAGTAATAACGATAGGTGCCTTTGTTTAGCATAGTTCTGCTCCCTTACTTTTAGCTGAACATATCACTTGAAATAAATTTCTTTCTAAAATCAGAGGGGGATATTATTAACAATTCTTCTTTATAAATATAAAGTATCCTTTATTATATAAATAATTGAAATGCTTAATTTGCATTCTAATAAATATGTATCTTAACTTTCTGAAAAATTAATTTATTTTAAAATGTAAAAATGAATTAAATCTGAATTTTTTCCAGTCTTATGATAATAAAATTTTAGAATCATCAGTTTGTATATCCTTATATGCACTCATGTCTATAAATTAAGGATAATGCAAAATCAGGCAAAGGAAGAGTTAGAAGCAAAACAAATTTGACTTATTTGTAAAGCTTATTTATTAAACAAAAGGTAAAGAGAAAAAAAAAAGATGCTATATGTTTGATATTATTAAAAAAATGAGCAATTTTTTCTCCCTGGAGCAAATTACAAAAAAAAAAAAAAAAAAAAAAACACATATTTACAAAAAAAGCAATATACAGGTTTGTTGATTGTTAATACATTGTATGTCTCCCAGACAACCAATACAGTCCGACAATGCCTAGGCATGATGAGTATGAAATTATCGATCTGATCTTGGGGGATATTACACCACTCAAAAAGCAATGCTCTCCAAGGTTCCGGTAGACATGTAGGAGGAGGTTGAGGATCGACGAAGTATGCCCCACACGTGCTCTACTGGATTCAAGTCCGGTGAGAATGCTGGCCAGTACATACGGGTGATATCCTCCGATTGAAGGCATTCGCTTACGATGTTCCCACGGTGAGGACGGGCGTTGTCATCCATAAACACAAACCTAGAAAAATTCCACCCCAAACAAGCACTACTGCACCACCGTAACGGTGTCGTTCAATGATGTTTTCTTGGTGGTTACGGGTACCTGGAGCTTCCTATGAAAGTCCGGCGAAATCAGACTGCAAGCTAAACTGGACTCGTCGGAAACTCACACAAGCCACGGTTGCGGTGTCCACAATGCATGCTCTCACTCCAGGCTAACTGCAGGCGACAGTGAGTGCAGAGTAATTGGAACGTATCTGACAGGTCTACGAGCATATAGACCAATCTGGCCTAAGCGTCTGTACACGGTCTGCCTGAAATTGTCGTACCAGTGGATGTAGAGAGCTGACGAGACAGGTTGAGGCTGTGCTCCGCCTGTTTCTTTTGGCAGTAACTGCCAAAAACCGTCCTCATTCGGCGTTGTAACTCTGGGGTGACTGTCGCAACGTTCCTCAATTACCATCATCTTGGAATCGTTGCCAAAGCCGGAGATGACACTTTGGGCAATTCCAAGTTCGTCTGATACTTCCAGTTGGGTACGTCCATATTCAGCGGCCGAAATTCTACCACGTAAAAAATCATCCAAATATGTCCTTTGTGCATAACTTTCGGTTATTGCACTGAAATGCTTATAAAGCGCCTGCGAACAATTTTACTTCTTTGCCTGTATTCCTTATATATATCACTCTCTTACACTCTCGTCATTGTGACAGTACCATCGGTGTCATTGGTACTTCCTGAATTTGCATATGAGTCTTGAAGATGTGTGTAGTGATTTTACAGGTGATATATTTATTTTAGATTTCGATTTCCAGGTTACTCCGAATTATCCTTACTTTATCGACAGGAGTGAATTATAAGAAAGTATCTCATTCTTTTTTAAGGGCTCTTGTGATGTAAGTGATAGTAGATCGGACTAGCAGTCGGAAGGTCTGCGGTTCGTATCCGTGTGAGAGCATAGAGGATTTTTCGTATTTTCTTCTCAGAAAGACGGAATGTATGGAAATGTGATAGACGATAATTTGTGAACACATGAATTAGGCCGATAGAGTCTCGTACTTCTTCTCTTTCGCCCTATAAGAGGGAAAAAATAAGGAATTATGTCACTCTCCCTATCTTGCTACAAATGAATGTTCTTCCAATTAGAATTTGGAAGACATTGTTGGTAGAAAAATAATTACAGCACTGCTGAATTTTCGCAATTCTTGCTTCGAAAGAATCCAAGGTCCGCCTGTTACTCCACCTTTCACGAATTTTTCAAATTTACTTTTTTTAGTATCGCTTTTCCATTACAGTATGTTGATAGGTGAGACAACCCTGTAAAACGTTTTTTACTTAATTTACGTTCAATTTACATTAAAACGCAATTTTCGGAATTAAACTTCCTACATATAAGTTGCCTCTTTTTTGATACTTCTAGTAAAATTATATTAGGAGATAATATAATCAATATTTCTTTAGTAAATAAATTATTATTATTATCTTACTTTGCGCAATTATTAGAAAAACTTCTTTTCGAGCTAAGTGAATTTTAGATCATTCAAAAAATATATATACACTGCATTTTATAATTTTATTACACAAAAGTTTTATACCTTAGAGAGTATATCTTTTCTAGTACATTTTGTATTGCTTGAATTTTGAGGGAAATGAAAGTCAAGATTTTTACAAATAAAAACAATAAAAAAAAATATATTTTCCTCCGTTCAGTGCTGTATCTCTTTACTGACGTGTGGGTGCGATTATGGCAAAGCCTCAAGGGCTATCTGCCTAAGGGGAGGGATGCCTTCGTGGAGGACTTTTTAAGGGAAACTGGCTCGTATACATGTTACACATGGGAAAAACCACGAAAGCCCCTATGCAGCAACCTCGTTCTTGGGGTTTGAACCTCGGACCGAACTATCAGTGTTCAGCGACTTTACCATTCGGCCGCCGGTGGGCCTGTCTTTAATGACAAATTAACACCAATAGATAGGCTGTTTTCTCCCGAAAGTTCGGCCTTTCTGTAAACGATTGGGGGAAACTGGAAAAGCAATAAAATTATTTTTCACTCATGAATCGCCATCTTCAAGAAGCATCGACTCCCAGTTAGTAAAAGCGACCATCTGGTAAGATGTATTTTAGCATAAAATGGTTTGCAAATCCAAATAACATTAATTTAGAGAAATTTTTATGGGTGCAATGTATAATTCTTAGATAAAAGTGAGTAAAAAGGGACGATGTAGGGTGTTTTGTGCTACTTTGTATTTTTAGAATAGGGCCCCAAACATATGACTGTCGACCCTGTATTTAGATTTGCTAACTTTACTAAAGCATGTAATATCTATCTTCTAAGATAGGAATATTTCCCTTCCGGCGAAATTTCTAAGGAAAACTTACATGCATTTAGATTAACATATAGAGAAAACCATGAAAATTCCATGCAGCTGATCTATTCCTTCGCTGAAAATAGAAGCCTAGAAGAATTGATAGTGTTGTGTTGCTTCAGCGACTAGATTTCTCACTTTGATTTTGGAATTAGAAATATAATTACAAAGATCTCCACTAGGGGAGATCATAATTCACCATTTTTTTCACACATATAAAATCTGGTTAAATATGTTTCCTCGTTTATAAATTACAGAAGTTTGTTTTTTCAATAATTCCTGATATTTTAAAGGAAAATTTTCATGTTTTTTTTTCTTGTAGCAGGTTTAAATAGTCGTTGATTGAAACCACACTAATTTTACCTAACAATTGGAAAATGACGTGAACTCTTTCATAATTATATTACTCATTAGCATTAAAAATACTTGGGTTGAAGATTACCTCAGAAAGAGTTTTTTTAATTTCTTAATTTAGATGCCATACAGTCTGGTAATACATATCTTATATAATACATAATAATAAGTCTAGTTATACTACAGCCATATCAGTGGCCGATGAGACCTCTAAATATTAGTTGTTCGATTTGGATTCAAACTCAGACGAACGAATGCGATGGCTGTGTGGTATTTTTCCATGTATAACTTGAGTATGAGCTATTCGTTAGAAAGTCCTCTATGAAGGCATCTTTCTACTTAAAAGCAGATAGTCCTCGTGTGTTTTGCTGTATTCAAATAATCCTAGCCTTCAAACTACGACACCTATCACTCTAAATCAAGATGAAAGTTTTCTAAACAAGATTTTTAAATCGGGCTGTGGGGGTTCCAGTGGCCAATCGCTAAAACCGCTGAATACTGGTAATTCGACATGGATTCAAATCCAGACGAACGCGCTTGTTCTGTGAAAGTTTTCCAGGGTTTTTCTATGTTCAGTGTGGATGAGATTTAGTTCCCCCCTAGAAATTCCCTCCATGATAGTTTCAGTCCTCTTGCGCAGATTCCAAATCCATTAAATTTTCTTTATTAAATACAATTATAATTCTTTCTTTTTAGAGAAATCGCAGGGGAAAAAACTAAACATCAAATCGAGTGCGTATACGAATATTTTAAAATAGTTAAAATTTTGAGCGCTAAAGCTTTTTTAATACATTCATAGGCAACTGATAATTAGGGTAAGAAAAACATTTAAATTTGGCATAAAACTTTGTCGATTTCTACAATAATATGTATAAATGCGTTTTCAAAAACTTCTGCTGAAATATGAAGAGTCGTATTTGTATATTAGTGAGATTTGTAATTATATACTCAGCTTTTAGTTTTCATAACCATCCAGTCATCAGAATAAAGTCATTAAGCGTAAGGGGGGGGACGAAAAAGGAATTTTGAAGAAAAGATTATTTTTACAAAATGACTCAAAATTTCCTGAGCTTGTATAAGTAATTATGTAACACAAATAATTAAATATTTGCGAAAATTTTGTTGACCTCTTTCAGTCTTACCAATATTTCTGTATAGATATAGAACATAATTATCAATAATAAGTATCATAGATAGTGGAGGATATAGAATGAGCATCACAATATATAATTATGTTGTGTCGCAAAAGCAGCTGCTTTGATAAATGAACATAGCTGTCGGGAATCGCGTATGAATATCACATACATGTTTTATAATACCAAGAATGTTATAAAAATGACGGTTATTTGATATTAGCATTTACTGAACTTTTCAAAATGTTTAAAAATATAATATTTAAGAGTCAGCAAGTTTGTTTAAAAAATTGTATGCATTTCAATCACGGTGTTTTGTCGTTATAATCAGAAGCTCGTCATCGATATTTAGACTATTTCTTGATAACCTACCGAGTTCAAATTTTGTACTCACCCCGTTTACAGATGGAAATACGCGTGGTAAACCGAGTTTTATAAAATTCGATTTAGAGGTCTTAAAATTTAATGTTGTAAAAATTTTTTGTGCATATTTCCATTTAAAGAATAAACTAAAAATCTCACAGATTTTAAGTTTGCATCACTTCACAGAGTGTAAAATAGCTTTTGAAATAAAATTTGCGTAAAATTAATATAATTTCTGATTTTAAACTTTATACTTTTATGACGTAAGAGGAATTTTGGAAGTAAAAGACAACCAAAAGGAGAAAAATAATTTGTCGTACAGATTAATGGGAATAAGAGCCCCTTTGAAAAATTCCTGTACAGTTTTATAACAAGAATAATAGATTCTTAACTAACGAAATCAAATAATCGAATCGCATTGTCAAAAGTATAAGATTTATAAATTTATCAAGAGAGCTGCACGTTTTTTATTATTCATGATATAAATTCGTAGAATTTTTTTAAAGAGAATTATTTAATCATGTGTTCCCAATGAATTATATAATACATCATTTTCTCATTTTAATTCATTAATAATTTTATGAGTCATAAATAAAAATTTATTTTATAAAAACTTGTTTATTTTATTCAATACTTGTTCTAAAACGGAAATTCTTAATTTCTTTTATATATACATTCACTTTGTAACTGGTAATAAATTTGTTTCCTTAGAGTTAGTGTAAGGCCTTTATCTCAAAACATCAAGAAGACTTCTCCCCGCGCTAATTACAGCCATTTCCCATTGTCGTCAGGGGTGCGTGGACCCTTGTCCCCTTAGGCAAATGGGGGTTGGAAAAATACGGGCTAGATGTTTCTGGCGCATTTTTCCGCTGTTACAAAAACACGAGAAGATCCGTTTTCGAGGGTACGTTTAAACTAACAATAATTCGTAACGAACCGTTAAGAGACCTGCATAAAAGAACGAGAAAATATGGGTCAAACCGTTAATGGGTTAAGATGATAATGTTGACATTCAATGAAGTCAGGTAGTTCAGTCATAGTTTGCAGAATGTGAAGTTACTTACTTCTCTTGGCCTACACAAACAAATTTTAAATGTCATCAAACAATTATGGACAATGCTGGAAATTACAGCAAGATTCAGTTTTTCTGTCTCATTATCTTCCAAAGAATTAAAGGTCTCTGATAGAAGAATTGTGTGAAACTTACATCAGAACTTTTGTGCTTCCAGTCTTTCAGATTTCAAGCAGTTTTGGATGGCAAAGGTGCTCCTGTACCATATTAGATTTTTTTTTTTTTAGTTGTTTTAATTTGGAAAGTTCCTATATTTTGTGGTTTTTCATATTGTGCTTGGCAGTTATGTATGCATTTATTAATGTAACAGTATTTTTTAAAATCATCCACACTCAAATTGAGAATGAAGAAAGTGATAATTAGTGTGTAGCTAAAGTATATATATATATATATATATTTATTTTTTAGACTTCAATCATGGCAGTAGAATTCAATGGTGGTGTTGTGATTGGCGCTGATTCTCGAACAACAATGGGGTAAATATTCAGTTATTCTTTTATACTTTAATCTTTGAAGAGATTAATAAATAATACAGTATCTCAGAAAAATGGGTGGACAATTTTAGTTTTCCTAAAAGGATGCCAAAAATTTTAAATATGTAGAATTATAAAATTTTATTTTCTTTGAAATGTCCAATTATTCATTTTAAAGTAAATATGTTTTTAGAAATAAAACACTGATTTTGACAATATCATCCGAGTGGCAAAATCATCTCCTAGAAGTGTTCAGGTACTACTAAGACTATGAACAGAAGAAAGACAATATGTAAATTTGATGCATTTCATTATTATGTGTGCTTCAAAAATGTTATGCAATTAGAAATTTATGTATTCTTCTCAGTTTTGATACTCTAAGAACAGAAATACATTTGAAATGCATTTAATTAATTTTAAGAGTTAAAAGTCTTTTTTTTTTTATATATAAAATTAAAAAATGAGAAAATTTGAAGTGAAGAGGACTTAGGAGACCTTTAAAGCTGACCTATGGAATTGTAGACTGCTGTTAAAAATCTGAAAATAATCACAGATTCAGTGCTGTCAAACAGGTAACAAAATCTGATTAATCATTGGGGGTATTCATTAGTCCAGAAACTGTTAAAATAAAGAGTAATTTAATATGTTAGCTATGAATATATTGGTGGTGGAAAAAAGTTCTATATCTGTGAAATAACAGAAAATTTCAGCCTCCTTTTTTCCCATCTATTACAAACATGAGAAAATCACAAATACTGATATAAGCTAATATGTTGCCTTTAATTATGATGGTGAAGGAGGAATAAGGAAGTAAGAAACCTTTACGAACTGAGTGTAGTCTTGTCAGTAGAATATGGTAAAACAGGCGTCATTATGGTGGGGGCATGCCATCTAGTGAAATTAATTTTTAAGTTTCAAAATTTTTTAATGGATCAGTACGCATGAAATACAAATCATCAGGAAGTAAACTTAACGTGTAAAATAATTTTTTAAGTTCTATAAAGATAATGACCGAAACCATATGCGTTGCAAATATGCATAAAACCATACGTGTTGCAAATATACAATTTTGATTATTATTTAATTGTCCTGAAATATTCAAAATACTTTTTACATCCATATTTGAAACCTATTGAAATATCTGGCAAGAAATGGAATACAAACTTTTAAAACAAAACATTTCTATAAAATGGTAATTGAAACTATTAATATATAGTTTGCTCTGAAATTTTTGAGGTTCACATAGATGATAAGTGGCAGAAAAAATTAATGGTTAGATTTGAAAATATTATATTTTACCATAGCAGATGTTTTTTTATTGGCCAATTGCAAGTGGTTTAGCTTAGAATAAATTTTAGGCAGAAGGAAAAATGGAGTTGATGTGAGAACATTATCGCTCTTTGATTTTAGAGTGGGGATTAAATCAAGAAGAAAGTGTTCAATATCTGCAGTTAGCATTTGGAAATGAAGGTCTGCCGTATGCTGCTGTATTCAGATAGTTTACAAAATTTCACAGAGGTAGCAACTCTTTTCAGGATGAACACACAGGAAGCCCATTCTCAGCAGTAATCTCAGATAATTTGTCTGCCATATGGAAAATGTTAATCGATGATAATTGCTGCAACTTACAAATGATACAGAAGGAACTTAACATTGGATCCACCACCATGCATAAAATTATTCATCAAGAATTGCATATGAAGATTTGGTTTTCTATAACTTAACCAAGGACCAAAAAGAGGAGATTGTCAGGATCACTAAAGAAATCCTGAAGTTACTTAAAGATGGTAGCAACTGTATTTTTTTCTAAAATCTTAGCTTAGTGTATAAGGTATTCCTCCCGCCTTTCCTAACGTGCCTTCGTGGTGTAGTGGTTCAGCACACTGGGCCGGTATTCCAGAGGTCCGTGGTTTGATTCGCGGTGAAGGTGATTGCTCATTTTTCATCTCTTTGGCTTCCAAAAAAAATCTTAATGTCTCTACAAGTGATGAAACATACATACCATTTTTTGACGTTCCAACACATCAAGAAAGTAAAGTTTTTGAAGATGATCCTATGCCCACAGTAGTGAAAAGACAATGTGCCATGAAAAACGTAATGTATGCCATTTCCTTCAAAAGTACAGGACTGGTCAAAGCCATCAAGCTGTAAGGACAGAAGACAGTCCCAGTTAAATGGTACGCCACTAAGCGTGTTCCAGAAATTCTTCAAGAAGTGAATGTTAGAGTCATGCTCCACCATGACAGTGCATCTTCTCATTCAGCAAAATTGACAGCTGAGTTTCTTGAACAAAAACACATCAAAGTGGTAGAACATCCTACCTGTTCACCTGATCTAGCTATGTGTAACTTTTGGCTATTTTTTAATATAAAAATGAACTCGCCTGGACGTCATTTTCATTTCAAATATGAGATTGATGAAGCTGTAACTGCATTTTTTTCATTGATTGTAAAAAATGAATGGTTTGAGGCATTTAATCTTTGGAAATTTTGTCTACAGAAGTGCTGTAAGAGACTACTTTGAGCACTCCTAAAATTTTGTAAGTATAACTTTAAAAACCTTTGTGTATCTCAAAAATTTCAGAGTGACTCTCATACCAGAAAAGAGTGGCAAAAAATTAATCCAGGGGTAAGAATGGATCTAGTTTAGAAAATCCAGGAATTCATATAGAGTAAGAATAATTTCTCTTATGAAATAACAAGACAATATGTAGCTTTTAATCGGAGACCTTTTTTGCATGTTCTGTTTTTAAAGCAGATAATATTTAATTATTAGCAATAGTTAAGACTTGCCAAATAATTATTTTCCAATGTTTTGGATCAGCTAACTTTTTTTTAATGAAAATCATTCTAAAGGTGTATAAACTTCTGTTGTAAACATGACTTTTTTTCTTTCTGTCATTTTTTTTTAAATATATATACATATAGTTGGTATATTTTAGTAATTATCTGTTTGTATGAAGTGTAAATTCTCTCATTTGATTATACAGAATGTGATGACCCAAAATTGCTGAACAGTCAAATATTCTAAAAATCAGTTGTCTATGCAAATAATTTTTCTCTGAGTATTCAGATTAAAATTGTGTAATTTTAGAGAAAATAAATGTTCTGATTTTTCTATGGGATTCTTTCTCGTACTATAATGTTAATAATGAAACAGGAATAAGATCTACCATAACCCAAATAAAAATATTAATAATCCTATCATCTGTGCTCTTGTATAAAATGTATTTGTTTTTAAGGTAAATTTTCTGAATCACCTTTGCTAATTTATATGATACATTAAAAATATGTTATCATTTAGGTCCTACATTTCCAATCGTGTGACAGATAAATTGACAAAAGTGACAGATCATGTCTACTGTTGCCGTTCAGGATCAGCAGCTGACACGCAAGCTATTGCAGATGCAGTTAGATATCGATTAGATATGCTTGGGTCTGTATGAAATCATTTTGCTACATATGTATCCTAGATATGCTTTTTGTCATTTCTTCCCTCCTAAAATCAGTTTTAATTATTTTCTTTTAAGGTTTAATGCATTTATTGTACTTTTCTGTTATATCAGTATGGTATTCAGAGTGTATGTATGCATTATACATGCATTTCTAAGTTCAGACACAATAACAGAAAAGTGCCACATTTAGTTCTTGATAGTATTCATACTTGTAATAAAAAATTTCTTTTAAAGGTAAAATATTAATAACATAAAGATTTTTTTCATAACCATGAACTCGTATTTTGCACCTTGCATTATTTTTTATACAAAATCAATTTCTTTCTTAGCGTATAATTATCCCATGAAGTTTTACCAAATGGTGTTTCTGTATTTTGGTATCTGTTGTAGATATCCTTAAATCTTAGATTTTATCTGAGTGTGTTTTTATGTTTTGTATCAAAATTTCCATATTAAAGTGGGCTCCACATTAGTTTTGATAGCATTTGAAATTTTTGCATTGCAGGTTGACAATTAGATTTGCAAATTTTGGCGATTAAGTGCAGTGGACCTTTAACTAGGAAGTCATGCCATACCTTTGATCAGATCTAAGTATATATATATGTCATAATACAAGCAAAGGAAAAACGGAACTGTCGGAAACACGGGAAAACTGTCGATGCGGAACACTTAGATCCATATTGAAGAAGAATTTTGATTGCGTAGTATGCTAGTAATGCTAACTTGGTAATATCTAAAGAACTTGGCAGTCAAGGCAGTTTTAATTCCATTTTTATTTCCAATTGATATTTGTGGCCACAATCACTTGGCACTCTAGTCGTGCCTTTCCACAGAAGATTTACATTTTTGATATTGTTGGGACAGAAAGCAAGCCAGCGAAATTACATCTTAGCACAGTAGACAGCATAGAAGCTGAGGGTGCGTAGCTATGAAAGATGAAAGCACGCGAAGAGAAAAGTTTTGGTTTACAATTCGGTGATTGGTCGTCAAGAGGCATCTGGTATTAACGGTTACGTAAGATCGCATGATTAATTTGAATGACGCAATGCAGATAAGTTATTACGATTTTAGAATAGAGAGGAAGAATTAATCTTTATAGTTATATTATAATTCTGATTCATACATTTTATCTTACATATTCCCCCCTTCAAAAAGAAAAAGGCGTAGCGACAGAGAAGCCTTTTTAAAGAGAAAGAGTTAAAGCACTAGCAAATAAAAAAGAAAAACATAAATCATAAAATTTTGATTCTATAAAAGTATAATTTAAAAATATCAATTTTTTTTAAAATAAATTTTTAATTTTTCGAGTCCTATTGACTTTTTCAGCATTTTAGTCCAAAAGTCTTTTTTGTTTGAGAATTCACATAATCATAATTCTTCAGGGAAGGTTCTTGTTATTACAGAATATCACAAAATAAAACATTTACATAATCATTACTTATAATTAAATGTAATGCACATAAATATTTATGATATGAATTTTCATATTGATAAATTATATTTTAACAGCATATAATAATAGGAGTAAGCTTCAGAAAATATGGTTTCACCGTTATTATCTTGCATTTGCAATTCCCGATTTTACCAAACTGGAAGCCTCGCAATACTTCTAAACAAACATATCCATTAATAGGGCTGTCCTCTTGAGCTAACCAGTGTGTTCTCTGCACTGGTGGTCCAGGGTGCCTAGACAGTTACTTGAAAAGACCTCCGTTCCTTGCATTAAGGTAACTGGCCTTTGAGAACTGCACTAATACATTCCATAATAAAAAAATATAATAATAATAATAATAATATAAAATTTACATGCATTCATAAAATGAGAGCCTCCAACATTATCTTGCATGAAGAGCGTAAAAGGAACAACTGTACAGAGGTAATTACAGGCCTCTGTTGAAGGAACCAGTACACCCTCATCATACTATACTTAACACACAATAAGTCATAAATCTTAACATGCATTTACCATAATTTCATATTACTTATCTGTAATAATTTCACTTATTTTTACACCTACTTCATTTTTAGAATAATTATAAAATTAGTATTAAAAATTCTCAACAAAAATTTCAAAAACATAAAAACTTATCTTAATATCCTTCCCTATGAATAATTAAATAGCTTAAAAATTAGTTACTTAATTTGCTCACACATAATTATGAAAAATTAGAAAAATTAATGAACAAGAATTTCAGATTTTCTCAAAACAAATTGCAGAAAATTTTAACCAAAGTTGAAATGAAAACTATAGAATTTGCAGCACATCTGAGCTAGGTTCACACGAATGTAATAATTTTTGAGCTGTTGCAAAAGCGGAAGTGCAAATAATTTTCTGTTGCACATACTTGCAAACACTAACTCAGATCAACCTTGAACCCGCTGTAATGCTTAATTCCTAAACGGTAATTCACTGATGATTTCTTTTTCACTAGGCATTCGAACTTCTCAATTTATTGAGATATTACTTTCAATCTGTAAACACTACGTGTGATTATTTTTTTTTTGAAGCACTTGCAAAACACCACAGCAGAAGAATGATCTGTTATTTTCTAAACACTGAAAAAACTAATTTGATGATTCACTTCTTTCACATTATCTTGGATTTATCACAAAACGATGATTTGAAGAGCTGAATTAAATTTTCCATTGAGGTTTCAGGCTGCAGGAAACTATCCTACCGGCTTAATTGTCATAATACAAGCAAAGGAAAAACGGAACACTGTCGATGCGAAACACCATATTGAAGAAGAATTTTGATTGCGTAGTATGCTAGTAATGCTAACTTGGTAATATCTAAAGAACTTGGCAGTCAAGGCAGTTTTAATTCCATTTTTATTTCCAATTGATATTTGTGGCCACAATCACTTGGCACTCTAGTCGTGCCTTTCCACAGAAGATTTACATTTTTGATATTGTTGGGACAGAAAGCAAGCCAGCGAAATTACATCTTAGCACAGTAGACAGCAAAAGATGAAGTGCGTAGCTATGAAAGATGAAAGCACGCGAAGAGAAAAGATTTGGTTTACAATTCGGTGATTGGTCGTCAAGAGGCATCTGGTATTAACGGTTACGTAAGATCGCATGATTAATTTGAATGACGCAATGCAGATAAGTTATTACGATTTTAGAATAGAGAGGAAGAATTAATCTTTATAGTTATATTATAATTCTGATTCATACATTTTTATCTTACATATATATGTAGGATGTGGTTGTAGTTTCGAACTGCAGCAACAGTCTTATGAAGACAACTGTAGTAACATTTAGTCATTTAATTACGAAAACACACGGACATAATTAACATGAAGGTAACGCATAAAAATTTTTTTTTAAAATGAGAAGAGAAAGGTCTTTCCATAGCATAATAAAAAGGGGGAATAACATATAATAATTCAGAGACCTTCTTCGAACTTCGTTGTTGCTCCTGTCACGTCTCGAGAAGTGGTCACATGATCTTACTGCTGAGCAGGTTGCCATTTTTATGTACGAAAAAAAAAGCATATCACCTTATTATATGGTGATATTATTATATATATGAACCATATAATATGGTGATATGCTCCCAACTGAGGTATTGGCGACCAGTGGTACTTTGTACAAGGAAGTAAAAATGTGCATTGCTATGGCCATGTTAAGAAATATAGACTCAATTTTCAAGTCAATTATTGTCCTAACCCTTTGAGGGGCAGTCTATAAAATAATTAAAATTGTGAAAAAAAATTAAAATTGTAAAAAATTTTGCATGAACTATAACTTATGGACCCTAAGGACACAAAATTGAGAATTTAAAAAAAATCTAAAGTGAAATCCTAAATTTTGGGACCCGGTATATATTTTATACCGACGCCCTTCTAAGACATTTTTTTCCAGGTAGCTGCCAATTGTTAATTTTTGTTTTTTAAATTAATTTTGCATACTTTTAATGGGTATCTGTAGAGATGGGTGCTTGAATATAGTTATGTAAGTCTAAAGACAAAAAATCTTAAAAATAAAAGTTATGTTTTTATGCATTTTGATGATGCAAGCCAGCTGAACATACTTATGCAAAATATAGGTAAAAAGCTTTTGAACTTGATTTAAATTCAATATTGTTTTATTAAAAAAATTAGCTAATATGACACGGCATGCGTAAATCGTATCATGCTGTAACTGAACTAGTATAATATTACAAGAAGATGTAACACCAAAAAATAAAAAAAAAATTTAAAATGAAGCACTACAACTCAGATGAGAAAGTATGCTGCATTTTTGAAGTCATATTTACGCTTTAGGTAATATGTAAAAAAACAATGGTTTGTGCTATGATACCAAGAATTGCCCCCCTCCACGCACGCACACTTTAGATTGTTTAGGAAGAAACGCCGTTAAACAACTTTATTATTTTATACACCTCAAAGCTCTTATATCGCTTTTCAAACCCTTTAGCCTCCTAGGGACTCTTTTTCAACTTTTGGATAAATTCTAGTTTGCATCTAAAACGGGCCTTAGAAATGTTTTCCCTCGCTTCACGAACTGTGAAATTTATTTAAAAAACAACCTAAACCTAAATTTCTCTTGTGTTCCCTAGTCTTTCATCTGAAATTAACAAAGACGATAAGAATAAAAGCATGCTTTCAAATCACTAGTTTTTGTGATTGCACTAAGAGATGGACCTTAACTGCACTTCCATTTTCCGTATTTTTAAGCAAGCTTTCTCTTTGTGTGATCTTATCACACCACACAAAGGGAAGAAGGCATGACTCCCGAATGACAAATCAGTGGTCAATCACCTCCTTTCATTTTCCTTGGATTCTAGAATTTTGGAAAACACGAAGCAACGGGTATCTTTTGGGGGCTAACATGCCACATTTAACCCCTACAATTGTGTATTATTTTCACACCAGACAGCAATTTTCAATTAGATGAGTCTTCCTCTTGAGAAAGGGAAGGGTGAAGTGCTGAAGTTAAAATTTTAGCTAAAAAGAGACGAATGAAACTCAAG